ACTAGGTCTAAATTGATGAATAATTTTCATACCATTGTGAATAATTGGAATGATGTAGATTTTAAATTGAATCGATATTTTGTTGAAGATGATGATCGGACCGATGAACTCGATAATCAATTTAAAGCTGAATTAATGGATCCTTTTCTTACTAGTATTACGCATGAAATATTTAAACTTACAATCAAACAAGCATCGACGATAAATGACTTGGATGTTGGTTATGTGGGAAATAATCTTTATCCATTATATCATTTCATAGGAACCAATCTTGTTTTTAAAAATATTACTGTTTTATATTGTGAACCAAGAATCGATCCGTTCTTTTTCCATGAATTGGCTCGAATTTGCTTTCTATTACAAAGCATATACATTAGAAATTGTCGATTTGATAACTTTGGATTGGCTAAATTGATTACAGTTCAAAAAAATCTAAAATACATTGCTTGTATAGTTGATGATGATGACGAAATTACTATGGATCTACCACACTCGGCAATCGGAAAAGCTTTGATTGATCAAGCAAATTCAATCAAACATCTCAAAATGTCTTATAAATTTGAATTCTTTTTACCCTTGCATATTCTTTCGAAGTTGAATCATCTTCAATCGTTAGAATTATACAATTATAACGATTCTTATCGTAAATTTCACTCATTACCAATATTTTCACTTTTTAATCTTGAAAGGCAGTTAGAATTAGCATCATTTCCTCAACTTGAAGTTCTGAAAATAGGAAAGGTTAAACTTCAATCAGCAATAAAATTAATTGAAAAAACTGAAGGGAACCTTTCGGAGATTCTACTTGGGTGTACAGTATATGACGAAAAATATTCCGGAAGTTTTCTTCGTACAATATACAAATATTGTCCAAATATTCAAGTTTTATCTTTGGGAATCAACAATGTTATTGACTTTAAGGAGCTTGTAACATTACTAAGAAATTGCAAACAAATCCGAAAAATTATTGTCGATAGATCAAAAGAATCAGGACGTGAACATACTGTACTATTATTAGGTATTCTGTCAATATTTTCCTCAAAAACATTATGTGAAATTCGGATTTCTAGTAAATGGAAAGTTTTGGCAAGAGATCTTGAATTATTT